AGGCAGCATATTATTGGGTCTTTTTTTAAAATCCAATCTACTAGCCTATTTCTTTTGATTGGTGAGTTTAGGCCATTAACATTCAGGGTTATTATTGAGACATAATTTGTATTCCCAGCCATTTTTGTTTATTTTTGGTATTTAATGTGACTTGGTTTCTCTTCTAATTAGATTTTCCTTTAGTGTAATGCTGAGAGCCATTGCCAAGTAGGAATGACGCATGGCATGACCCAGGTCATTTGCAGTGACATTGCATGTAAGGTGACCTTGCCCAAGGACCATGGCAGATCCGGGTTTAGGGCAGATCAGGGTTTAGGGCGGTTCCAGGTTTAAGGTGTATCCTGCTGGGAATAGGGCATATCCTGCTGCCTCAGGCGCGCCCGCTCCTTGAGATCCCTGTTGTGTTCTCCCGGGATTCAGAGAGTATTTTGGGATACAGAGCCCAGTGGAAGTGTGGATTTTCCCAACGTGTGTGTAGAGTGCCAGTGTGAGTTCGGGAATAAAGAATTGCTGTTTGAATCTACAAGGTTGTGAGTGGCTTGTGATTTTGTGCCCAGCCAGACTGCGGCAGTGTAATACCTCCTTCTGCTGATTTTCATCATTGTTTTTCATTTCCTCTTCATGGAATATTTGCTGAGGATGTTCTGTAATGCAGGCTTTCTAGTTGTAAATTCTTTTAACTTTTGTTTATCATGGAAGGTTTTTATTTCATCATCAAATTTAAAGCTTAATTTTGTTGGATATAAGATTCTTGGTTGGCATCCATTTTCTTTCAGAGCTTGGTATATGTTGTTCCACGATCTCCTGGGTTTGAGGGTCTGGGTTGAAAAATCTGCTGAGATATGAATTGGTTTCTCCCTATATGTGATCTGATTCCTCTCTCTAGCGGCTTTTACAATTCTATCCTTATTCTGTATGCTAGGCATTTTTATTATAATGTGCCTTTGTGTAGATCTATTATAATTTTATGCATTTGGTATCTGATAAGCCTCTTGGATTTGGTTTTCCAACTTGTTCTTCATGCTTGGGAAATTTTCTGATATTATTATTGAAGAGATTGTGCATTCCTTTGGTTTGAAATTCTGTGCCTTCCTCTACCCAATAACTCTTAGATTTGGTCTTTTGATGCTGTCCCATAATTCTTGCATGTTTTGTTTATGGTTTCTAACTTTCTTCACTGTGTGATCAACTTTATTTTCCAGATTGTATACTTTGTCTTCATTATCTGACGTTCTTTCTTCCAAGTAATCTAGTCTGTTGGTATGCTTTCTATTGAGTTTTTTATTTGATTTATTGTATCCTTCATTTCAAGGACTTCTGACTGGGTTTTTTTTTTCAGAGTTTATCTCTTGAAGTAATCTTTTGCTACCTGTTTTTGCTCTCTTATCTCTTTGTTGGAGTGGTCAATTTTTGCCTGTATTTGCTCATTTAGGTCATTCTTTAATTCAGAGATTATTTTAATTATGAACTTTCTGAACTCCTTCTCTGACATTTCATCAACTTTACTGTCCATGGATTCTGTTATTATAGTATCCTGGTTTGTTTGGGGCACTTTCCTCCTTTGTTTTTTCATGTTGTCTATGTGTCTTCCTTTCTTGCAGTGTGGATCTGAGATATTAAAGTTTCTTCCCTTTATTCTTGTAGTGCCTGTACAGATTGTCTGTACCTCACCTTGATGTTGGGCTTCCAGATCCTGCTGATGTCCCTCAATGTATGATACTGCATCTAAAGGTGGTGGTGGCAATAGCTGAGGTAACTCGAGATAATAGTTAAGATGCCCCAAGATGGAAGCAATGTCTTACAGAGATGGAGCTGAAAGGGTGGGCCTCACACTCTCTTTGGGATGCCTGCACTGAGAAGCAACTTCTTCTAGGCTCTGTCTATTGTCAAAAAGTTCCGGGCTACTGTGTGGGGAAGGCTATGGTGATGACTGCAGGGTCCAAGAAGGAAGTGGGTTAGGCTTAGGCTCCCAGGTGGGGGAAGGGTGAACTCGACCTACCCTGGACCTGGGTTCTGTGCAAGTCAGTGTGGTCAGATCTGGGTGGGGCCTGGGCTCCTGTGGTAGTCTGCTGGTCGGAAGAGGTGACCCTGTGCTGGAGGCTAGGCCCTGGCAGGTGCCTGTTGGTGGAGGGGTGGATCTGGGCCCACTGTCAGCCTGGGTCCCACACAGGCCAGTATGTGTGGATCTGGGCCACTAGGCTTGACCTCTTGCGATATTCTACTGGTCAGAAGAGGTGGTCCTGTGCCAGAGAGTAGGTTTTGGCGGGTGTCTGCCCCATGGGTAGAGGGGAGGACCTGGGTCTAATGTGAGCCTGGGTCCTGCTTGGGTTGGTGTGGGCCTTTTCTTTCATTCCTGAAAGTCCCCAGTTCCTGGTTGTCCAGTAGCTGCAAACATATGAATCAGTGGCTCCAGGGATGGTAGGAATAACGTAGGACAGAGGAATCATGGTTCACTTTTAAACTTCAAATTAGATTAGTTTTAAAAAATCCATAACCAGGCACTAGTCTTGAAAGCAGACTCTGTTGAAAGAGAAAAGGGCTATCAAGAGACTCAGATCTTAAATAACGAGAGCCAAGCTGGGCCTTTGCAGATTATAAAATGTTTGCTGTGAGTGTAGAGAGAACTCAGGAAAAAGAGAAGCCACCCTCCCCCAGTGCTGGGGGAGAAATGGAATATATAGTGAAGTTTTCATGGGCATGATCTGTTCTACTGGTGGAATCAGAACCCCTGAAGAGGATTCGGTAACAACCAGATGGTCTGGGTCTCTGGAAAGTTTAGGGTAAGTTCTCTGCTTCTCCTGGAGTCTGTGAGCCTCTTAGAAAAGATTTGGCATGACTGTTGTGACAGCATGGTGTGTGTATTGGGCTAAATAGACCCCTTTCCCCAAATTTGCTTTCATCTGCATTTGGAGTGGGCCCTAAATCCAATGACTAGTATCATCATAAGAAGAGGAGAGACATGAGTCTCCAGACAAAATCAGAAATACCTCACTTGTGTCCAGGGGACAGTGTGTGGAGCACAGAGTTCATGCTTGATGCCGTCAGGATAGGAAATTCCCCCTGTACCCAGGCACCATCTGGGGAGGAAACAGGTATATGGCCAGAGCTCCTTTGGAAAGAGGAAGCAGACCTAATGAGAAGTGTGAACTTGTAAAATGAGTGACTATTTACCTAAAAGAAATGGAAAGAAGACCATGTGTAGATGGAGGCAGAATTGGAGTGATGCTTCCCTGAATGAAAGAATACCAAGAGCTGATAGAAATGGGAAGAGGCCAGGAAGGGTCTTCCCTAGAGATTTTGGCAGGAGCATGGCCCTGCTGACACTTTGAGACTTCTAGTCTCTAAAACTATGAGAGAATAAATGTCATCTGAGGCTTCCTGGTACGTGGTACTTTGTCCAGCAGACCAAGCAAATGGAAGCAATGTGGGAGCAGGTGGCTATGCTGTCACTTTGGACCATGCTTCTGGTGGCCGTTGTCCATATGCTACCAATAGGAATTTGATTATGTATGGCCTGAATGGGAATGCAGATATGCTGAAGGAGCAGATGATCTAGACAAGGGAGGATACTGAGGGGGGCCAGGGACCCAAGGCTTCAACCCTAGGGGCCAACCTAGTGTTCCAGACACAGAGGGAGATCAGCCACACATCAGCAGACCCTGTGACAGGACATCAGTCTGTAGACCAGACCAGAAATACTTCATTTGGATGGAGTACACAGTTCATGCTTAATGCCTTCAGGATAGGAAGTTCCCTTTGCACCCAGGCACCATCTGGGAGGAAGCAGGTGTATAGCCAGAGCTCCTTTGGAAAGAGGAAACAAACCTAATGAGAAATGTGAACTCAGAAAATGACTATTTACCTAAAAGAAAATTTTCCAATTCAGAAAGCCTGAGTTATTTTTTATTGAAAACTTGAAGATTTGTGGGGTGTGTGTGTGTGTGTGTGTGTGTGTGTGTGTGTGTGTTTTCACTAGGAACTGGGTGCAAGATGAGAATAGATATAGAAAATATAGCTATAGTTCTTGCCTATTTGAATTGTAAGACATAAATGCCAACTCTAATCCCACCCATTCCTTAATATTTTACATATTGTGTTGGGTTTTCCTTATGTTTCTTTTCCTGAACTGTTGGCTCCCTGTGAGTTGAGATGACCTCATGCACTTTTGGACACATCTTCAGATATCTGTGTCCCCAAGACCTAATGGGGCTATCCTGAAATATAGGATAAAGTCTCATTGAATATTTGTTGAATAAATAAAAAATTAAAAATGTATAAATAATATTTCCTTTTATTTTTTTTATCAAGATCTTTTTCAAGTTTTATAGAGTGTCTGGATTTTCATAGGGTCTTTTGTCTCAAACACATGCTCCGCAGGAATGTGAGTCTGGGGAGCAGACTCAGGGTCAGGGAGCTTGGAATAAGTTAGTGGCTCTAAATATGATTCTGGGTAAGAATTCCAAGTTAGAATCTTTCCAACCATAAGAGTCATGGCCTTGTGTCAGAGTCTTCTATGTCTGAATAAATGAGGGGAGAAGAGGAGGAAGTTTTCAGAAAGAGATTAGTTCCTGCTATGATCTTTATTTCTACTTAAAAAAAGTTATTTAAAACTCACACAGTATAAATTAATTCAGATGTAAATAACCATTCAGACAACCAGGAATTTGACAGGCAGAGGTGTCTGCCAACATGTCCTGAGTAATTAGCTAGATTTTTGCACTTTTTTCATTTGTTGGCAGCACTAGGCAACACTTACTTATTTCTTCTCTCTGACTGGATGGTGCTGATTCTAGGAGTTAAAAAAAAAGACTTTGGGTTTTGGTGATCAGCCTCTCATGCTTTGGAACCTACCTTGGGGGCTCTCCAAGTTCCGTTCTTTGAAGATGATTTCCTAGTTCTGAAGGTGATTTAGCATTAAGCCTTGGGCCAAGCCACTGACTGATCCCTGACCCATTTCTTTTACTTTGGAGCCATTTTACTGAGGATCATAATATCTATCAACTTCCCACATCCTTGTGAGAATTGATTAAAGAGCCTGAGCTGTGGAGAGGAAAGTGGCCAAGTGAGCACAATTATGGCTTTTAAGAAAACCCAAAACACACCAGTCGATTTTCTAAGTTTGGATCTGCTTCTGCCTCACCTCTGCCAGGATGTTAGGGCAGCTGAGTAATTCTCAGGGGCAGAGGCTCAAGCCCTGCCACAAAATGTCATTAAATTCACAACATCTCCAATCACTTTCTGTCCAAGTCTGACCCCATGGATGTGGAAGCACTTTGAAGTTATAGCATGTTATAGAAATAGGCATTATCAGTCACCATCATTATAAGTATACATTCTGAATCAAAATAATGGTTTTCTCTTTTCAGGTGACATGGAATATCTGGGGTTAAATGAAGGTCACATCCCTTTGTATGCACAGGCAAAACTGATTTGTTCTGGGGGAGCTGTAGGCTGCAGCCTCTTTCCAAGTGACCCCTAGGGGGTTTGATCAGGGTTGCTGTTTGTATAAATTGTTTGCTGACATTCGGCCACTTTTATCTCTGATGGCTGCCTTATGGCTTAAAGTAGTATTTCTGCCCCACATTCAAGTTTTGGCAAGGTGAACACACTCATATAACTGCCCAGTCCCAAAGAAAGGACTCTTGGCCCTTTGAGTGTTCTTTGAGTCTCTCTGTCACTTACCTCAAGCTGGAGAAGAGATTGAGAAGCAAGAAGGGAGCTGAGGGTGGTGAGAATGGAGGTATAGGTTGAGGGTTCTTTCCAGTTCCTCCCAAGTGAAGGCTTGCCAGTGGGGACCTTACTGTTTTGCTTAGAGGTTTGAGAATCACCACTTAATCAGAATACTTCTAAATGTCAGTGCAGTACTGCCCTTGGGTCCAAAAGTCATGTTCTTCCCTCATGTAAAATACATTCATTCCACCCTAATGTTCCCTGAAAGTCTTATTCATTCCAGCATCAACTTTAAAGTAAAAGTCAAAAGTATTATCGAAACGTCATGCAAATGAGACTTAAGGTACAATTCATTCTGAGGCTTTTTTTTTTTAAATTTCTGAGGCAAATTTCTAGACAACTTATCTGCTTTCAAAATATAATGGTGGAATAGGCATAAGATAGACATTTCCATTCCCAAAGGGAGAAAAAGGAAATAAAAAAGGAGTCACAGGCCCCATATAAGTTCAAAACCCAACAGGCTAATCAATACTAAAGTCCAAGTCTTGAGAATAATCTTCTCTGCCTCCATGTCCTGCCTTCCAGATGTAAACCTCCCATGGATTTGCTGGACTCAGCTCTCAGCAGCTCTTCTGTGTTGGCGCATCTTGTCTGCAGCTCTCCTAGGCTGGTGTTGCATGCTGGTAGCTCTGCAGTTCTAGGCATTGTGGGTGACTCCATTCCCATGACTCCACTAGGCATTGCCCTTATGAGGACTCTCTATTCTGACTCCACACTTGCTGTAGGTTTCTGCCTGGACCTCAGACCGTCTGACACATGTTTTGAAAACTAGGTGGAAGTAAACATTTCTCCATAGCTCATGGGGTCTGTGCCTTGCATAACTAGCTCCACATGCATGAACCTAAGTTTTATGGTTTGTGTCTTCTACAGTGTCAGCTGGGGTAGCACCTGGCCTTGCTTGAGCAGTGGGTGGGGTGGCTGAATGGTGCTACACTGGAATGCAGGCTGCAGATACCTTAGGTGGTACAGGCCTGAGGGTGTGAGGACTCCTGAGACATACTCTCTTAAAACCTTCCTGCTCTTAAGACTCAGCATTGTGGACCTGTGATGGCAGGGGCAGCTTGAATGATTTCTACATGTGTTTGGGGTCATTCTCCCAGCTGTCTTTTGCTACACCTTGCCATGCACAACAAGACACAGAGGTCCCAGCTTGAGAACTTCTGGTTTTATAGATCTTAGAAATTATACTATAAAAGCCCATTTTTATTCTCAGAGGCTTAAGCTTCTATAACTTTCCAGAGAGGCAGCAACTCTGGGCCTTCTCCTGTGGGGTATATAGAGAGAGGATTAGACTTCAGGCTATAGAATCACATAGATTTGAGCATGAATTGTATCCAACACTGCTATTTGCTGTGTGACCTTGTGGCAAGTGCCATAAGATTCTCTCAGTCTCAGTTTCCTCACTGGTACAATGGGAATGATAATATCAATATGTCAGAATGTGAGAATTAATGGAGATAGTGCACAGCAAGTGTTTGCACAGGATCTGGCACCCAGGAAGCAATCCACATTGATTATTAATAGCGACTATTTATAAACTACTTTCATGGAACACATAGGCATATAAGCTGTCATTAGCTGGTAGGGTCATGATGACATCCCGTGCTCATTCAGAAGAGACTTCCAGGACTTGTTTTTATCCCACTGTGAAAGCTTCTTTCATTTCCTGTTCATGTGTGTGTTTGTGTCTGTGCCTATATGTGCTCACTCTGATCTTTACAACAGTTTCAGGCATCTTTTATATGAAATGAGATAATAAGAATAATTAAGTGTCTCAGATCTTTTAAAAGCTGAGATTTTGGTAGAGCACAGAGGAGTAGAAGACAAAGACGACAGAAATCAGTGAGAGCAGAAGGGACTCTCAGAACATACTGAAGTCAATGTTAGACATGAAGTTGGAAGGGTGTGGGCTTCCACATCTCCAGCATGAACCATTAAGGCCCTCCCACTCAAGCTGTGCCATTTCTAAGCCAATTTCCCCTGATGAGGCAGCTGCCTCTTAAGCAGTATTGTTAAAATAGACGACCCATCTCCAGGTGTGGGAGGAACCAGGGCCCCAAACTAAATGGAGTATTTGTAACAAAAGCTCATTGTTTGCTATCTGTTTAGTGCCTGTTTAGTGGTGCCAATAATAGGAAAATCACTTGATTTCCACTGGAAGGCAGTGTTTAGGGAAGATGACATTTAGAAGAGTGGGGAATGCAAACATACCACTGCATTCCATTAATCCATCTTCCTAGACATGAGGATACTCTGAAATCGTCATTCCCAACTCATGCTCCATTCCATCACTTCTTTGACAAAAGTGTGGCTTCTTCATTTGCAGTGTCCTGTCCATCCTGTGTGCACTGACCGAGCTGGTACCAGGTGTGGTGGAGCAAAGCTGTTCATCTCATGGCAGCCAGGGAGCAGAGAAAGAGAGAGAAAGGGGCCAGGGTCCCAGTGCCTCCTTCAAGGGCATACCCCCCAGTGACCTAACTTCCTGCCAGTAGGCATCACTCCTAAAGAACCCAAGACTTCCCAGCAGTGACCAAATCTTTAACACAATAGAGCCTTTGGAGGACACTTCAGGAACAGAACCAAAAATGGTTGTAATGTAGTGGCACTCCCTCCTCCACAAAGAAAATCTCAACTAAGCTTCTCCAGAAATCTTCACCATAATTGATTTTTAGACTGTAAGCAAAAGAGTCTCTACAAAAAAGTTCAATGTAGTTAAACTTCCTATTTTCCTGTTGCTCTATTTCACTTGGCCACTGTCCTGGAAGAAATCAGCACTCCAGGTGCTGAATGCTCCTTTACTAGTTTTCACAAACATTTATCCAGTATAGTAGTTTGTAGAAGTGTGTTTGCAAATGCAAAATGCGATTAAAAAAAATTCTTTAACAAGGCCTGTGGCCTTGAGCTGGAGCTTCACAGAGATGTCTACATTTTTAAGATAAGAGAAGTTACCATTTAGGCTCCATGGTAATAGCTGGCAGGAGGAGGAAAGAAAGGGGAGAAGAAGCTCTCCCCTTCTCAGGTGTTATCCTTGAAGGGTTAACTTACCCAGAAAAGTGAAAGAAAAAGCTGCTTTATGTGAACTTCTGCAGACTGTGAACTTCTGAGCCCCTCCCCTTACATGCTGGGTATAAAGTTCTGAAACTACCTGAATTCGGGGTTCAGGGGATTAATTGATTACAGCAAAAGCTGTGCCCTCTAAACCTGGCTGCAGCCAAATAAAACTGTTTCCTGCTATCTTTGGTGCCCTGTCTCGTCTGTCCCTACAACAGTAATGGTAAACTTTATTTTGTATATTTTAATATAATAAAACTAATCAGGGTGGTAAGTGAGTACTCCAAAGCACGAGGACAAGTGACCCCTAAAGCCCAGACCTGGCCCAGGTGTCCTTTCTAGACATAGCCCCCTGACCCCATCTCCAGAGCCTGGGTGCCTCTGCTATGTAAAGAGGCTCAGGAAGGTGTGGGATTAGAGCAAGTAGAGGTACCAGATCTGGAGGCACATCTTACCCAACCTCGAAGAGCAAGAATGTCTGCCTCATTTCCAGAAGAGTTCTGTCCTCAATGAGTCAGGTGCAACCACCCAGCAGGGGGTCAGGAAAACAAAGTTTATTATACTCACAGGTGCAAGGAACAGGAGCCATGGCATGTAGGGCCACATGAGCAAGTACCAGTATAGGTCAGGAGGCAGAAGGGGCAGGAGAAAGGGAGAGTCTAGGTCTTTATTGGGGCTCCCATGGGAAAGGCAAGGTAGGGCAATTTGAAGAATTTAGAACTGGCTAATTTAAATAATAACTGGTGGCCTCTAGTTGCCTGGTACCTGGCTCCATGATGATTTAGAAGGTAGGATTTTGCCTCAAGGGCATTCAGGACAGAGAGGAGATGGCTGTGCTCTAGTTAGTCTGTATATCAAAGGTATGCTGTTTGCTACCCTGTACTATCTTCAGGATTGGCTAGTGCCAGGAAGGGTAGTCTCACTGGACATAAAGGTGTTGTTAAAACATCAAAATAGATGGAATACAAAAATATAAGCCAACAAAGGTCTTATGGTTTAAATATGAAGGGTCCCCCAAAGGCTCATGTTTTTGAGGTATTGTCCCCACTGCAGCAATGTTCAGAGATGGGTCTTTTGGGAAGTGATTGGATCTTTTGGGAAGTGATTGGACCCTTTGGGAAGTGACTGGATCCTTTGGGAAGTGATTTGATCCTTAGGGTGCTGACTTCATCCAGGGATTAATCTATTGATAGCTGAATGGATTACTGGGAGGTGATGGAAACTGTATGCAGGTGGGGCATGACTGGAGGCAGTAGGTCAGTGAGGGGTTGCTCTTGGGGACTATATCTTGTGCTTGTCCACTTCCTCTCTCTCTCTTTCTGTTTCCCAGCTGCCATGAGGTGACCAGTTTTCCTCAGCCATGCCCTTCTGCCATGATGTTCTGCGGCACCTAAGCAATGGAACCAGCTGACTATGGACTGAAATCCATGAAACCATGAGCCCAAATAATTTTTTCTTCCTTTAAGCTGGTTTTAACAGGTATTTGTCATAGTGACGAAAAGCTAACACAATAGGTATCAAATAAAAGATCACTTATTGATTAAAGAACTTTTAAGGTTGTCTATTTCTGCATAACAAACAAGCCCTAAGCTTGGTTGTTAAAACAGTAGCCATCCTTCATTTGGTAGTGATTCTGAGCTGTGGGCTGGGATTAGCTGAGGATTTGCCTCTGTCCTGCTAACAGGGCCAGTATGGCCTTCCTCACATGTGTGGCAGTTTGGAGGCATGACTGGGACAGTTGGGGGCTGGAACACAATATTTAATAAATCTATGGAGATTTGTAAACAGCTTCTGGTTCAGCTGAAAGCATTTAATAAATAGAAACAACTTAAAAATTCATTATGCTTTTTATGTATTTTTAGATCATTTAATAATTTATCATTTAAATTATCATAATTATATTTAGAGATTATATATTTATATACATTTATTTGATCATAATTTAAGAATTTATAGAACTTAGATATTCTAATAACTTTCTTACAATTTATAATTTTTCTTGTTTCAAGTAGAATATATTTCTTGGCTTCTATACTTTCTTTTATTTGTACTTATATACTTAGTTATTTTGCTGAATTAAATTATTGGTTTAACAGACAAATTTCTTGTAAAGTATAGACACCACTTGTTATAATTTGGATCTTGAATTTCCCCCAAATTTCCATGTGTAAAAGTTCATGTGAAAAAAGGCTAGCTTGGCTCCATAGTTTAACTATTGTGAATTGTGCTACTATAAACATTGATGTGGCTGTGTCCCTGTAGTATGCTGTTTTTAAGTCCTTTGGGTATAAACCAAGGAGAGGGACAGCTGGGTCAAATGGTGGGTCCACTCCCAGTTTTCCAAGAAATCTCCATACTGCTTTCATATTGGCTGCACCAATTTGCAGTTACATCAGCAATGTATGAGTGTACCTTTTTTCCCCACATCTTGGCCAAAACTTGTTGTTTGTATGCATAATAGCTGCCATTCTGACTAAAGTGAGATGAGATCTTAGAGTGGTTTTAATTTGCATTTCTCTAATTGCTAGTGATTATGAACATTTTTTCATGTATTTGTTGATTTATTGTACATCATCTTCTGAGAACTATCTCTTCAGGTCCTTGGCCCATTTATTAATTGGTTTATTTCTTTTTTTTTTTTTGGTGTTTAGCAGCCACATCACTGTTTATAGCAGCACAATTCACAATAGCTAAATTGTGGAACCAACCTAGATGCCCTTCAATAGATGAATGGATAAAAAAGATGTGGCTTATATACACAATGGAATATTACTCAGCAATAAAAGAGAATAAAATCATGGCATTAGGAGGTAAATGGATGGAGTTAGAGAAGATAATGCTAAGTGAAGTAAACCTATCCCAAAAAACCAAATGCCGAATGTTTTCTTTAATATAAGGCTGATGATTCATAGTGGGATAGGGAGCAGGAGCATGGGAGGAATAAACAAACTCGAGATAGGCCAGAGGGGTTGGAGGGGAAGGGAGGGGGCATGGGGTAATTAATGATAGTGGAATGTGGTGATCATTACTATCAAAGTACATGTATGAAGACATGAAAAAAATAAAAAAAATTTAGTCTTTAAAAAAAAGAAAAGACTAGCTTGGTTGCCAGCCTGTGGTGCCATTGGGAGATAGTGGCATTTAGGTGGAGCCTAGTGGAAGGAAGTCATGGGGATTGTGAATTCTTGAAGGGGATATTGGAATCCTGGTCCTTTCTTGTCTCTCTTATGGCTTTCTGACTGCTATTGCCTTCTAGGCCTCCTCTGCTACATGCTCCTACCATGCTGTACTATGATGCTACAGGCCCAAAGCAATAGTGATCAAGGACCTAAACTGAAACTGTGAGCCAAAATAAATCTTCTATCCTTACAAGTTGATTAAAATCACGTATTATGAAATAGTGACAGAAAGGTGAGTAGAACCTTCTATTAATTTTTATTTATTAATCTTTATGAAAGTTAATTTTTATTTTTTATTGATTAACTTTTATTCAGTTTAATTCTCTACTTTAAAAAAAAAATTCCAAATGTTTACTCCTATTTTGCAAGTTATAATAAAGTGAATATAAAAATTTTAAATCTTTTTTGCATTAAAGCATAGGTTGTCCATTGGTGTTCAAATATTCTTTAAATTTTTAATTTCAATTCCTAGATCATCAGAGATATTACTTAATTCTGTTTATTTCACTTATTGTAGTTTTGTGGACTGAATTGTGTGTCCCTCCCATCCATATGTTGAATACCTAACCCCAATGTAACTATATTTGGAGGAAGGGCTTATAATGATATAATAGAGGTTTAGAGGGTTCCTAAGGGTGGACTTTTCATCTGATAGGACTGTTACTATATAAGAAGAGAAAAAGACACTAGAGGTCTCTTTTTCTCTCCACAGGTGCGCAGAAGGCCAATTGAAGACATGGAGAAGGCAGTTGTCTACGTGCCAGGAGAGGGTGCTTACCACAAGCAAAATTGTCCAGTTCCTTGGTATTGGACTTTCAGCCTTCAGACCCATGAGAAGATAAATTTATGTTGCTTAAGCCACTCTATTTGTGGTATTTTATTATGGCAGCCTGGGAACACTAACACCATAGTAAATATAAAACTTATGAAGGAAAAAACCAGAGTGAGTTATTGGGTTAACATTCTTCATTACATCATCTAGGGGTAATTAAATACAGTGACTTAGTGATAAATTAAAAATATTCAGAAGTGTTTCCAAAATTTTAGCTGAAATGCCAGACTTTCTCTCTAGCATAGAGATACCAGCACAGTCTGAACCAAAGGTTTCCATGAACATACTTCTCACTGATGCTATTTTTTCTCAAATATTCACAATAAAGTCTAGTACATTATTTTAGATATTATTCTTTTTAACACCACAAGATTCAAAAAAATTTAAAATTTCTCACTTTAAATAAATTATTAAAATGCCTTATATGAAACAGTTTCATAGAAGATGAATATTTTACTGTCTCGATTTATAACTTGTCAAATAAGTTGCTTTCTCATTTTAGAAGATATATGTTTTCCAACAAGTGGAACCATAAATTTGGAACACAGTGTATGCTCATATAGATATAATTATTTTTTAAAGGCTATTGAATATTTCATGTTTGAAAATGCTTGACTATATTTAAGCACTGGATAGTTTTAACATTTATAAGGATTCTTAATATTTTCAATTGTTTTATTAAAAACAAATCTAGATTTTATTTTTTCAAATGCATTATTATAAAAAACTGATCTTCTGATTGCTTTTGTTAATCTTTTGATGGATAATTACAATTTTAAAAAATCAAACCATGATTTTTGACAGAATGTCATTGCCATTCTGATGAATACGTAAGTTGTAGGGGAAGAATATCTTTTTCAAACTTCAAGTTTTTAGTTGGAAGGGACCACTATCATAAAAGACAGATTTACAAGAGAAAAGCAGAATTTTGTTAACGTGTATTTAATATATACATGGAAGATACTTAGACAATACATAGTTCTAAAATAGGTGGCTTTGAATTTTTGCATATACATGTAAATGTATATGTATATATGAATATATAATCTTTCATAAAAAACAGTTAATTTTTAGAAAAGTGATAAAAAAGGGAAAAGTACTTTGAATATCTAGGGGTGGCAACTTGAGGGATGGCAAATAATGGCCGATAAAGGCTAGTTAATAAAGGCTAGTTGATTCCTCTGGTACCATCTGTAAGCCAATACAGGTCCAAAATTGTCTCCTGTGGCCAACCTTTGTTTCCCCTGGTAGAAGAGGAGGTAGGCTTTTATATTCGTAAATCTATGTCCTGATTGTTTTAGTCAGCTTATATCACTGTGACCAAAATACCCAACAAGAAAATCTTACTGAAGGAAAAGTTTATTTTGGCTCATGGTTTCAGAGGTTTAGTGCCTGGTCAGCTATCTCCATTGCTCTGGGCCTGAGCAGAAGGCAGAACTTCATGGCCGAAGGGCAAGGCAGAGGAAAGCAGCCCAGGACTTGACAGCCAGGAAGCAGAGAGGGAGCTCTGCTCACCAGGCACAAAATATAAACCCCAAAGGCACACTCCAATGACCTTCTTCAGCCACAGGGCACTACCTGCCTATGGTTGCTATCCAGTCAATCCACATTAGTTTAGGTTACAGCTCTTATGTTGTAATCAGTTCACTCCTGAACATTCTTACATTGTCTCACACATGAGATTCTTGGGGGACACTTAATATCTAAACCATGACACTGATTTTAAGCAGTTAGAGGAAGGGAAGAGAGCTTTCCTGTATCTGGTTCTTAATTGCCTTCAGCTCAGAAATTCTTCATATTTTGGGGTGGGTAACATATTCTGGTTTCTCATGAAGTCTTTTAATGATGAACTCTGAGTACCATTTACCTCCAAAGTAGCACTGGTGGCATATTTTTGTTAAAATAATAAAATTATTACTATAGAAATAAAAAGTATTGTATTATTTTGTAAATTTCTTGTAGTGTGAAAGGTGTTCCGGTCACTGAAGATCCTTTAGGCTGCAGTTTATTGTTAATATCACTGCTTGTTCTCTGTAGACTCAGATACTTGAGGTATATGATATTTAATGGAAAATTAATAAATGTATCCACTATTGGTTATCTCTTTATTCTGAGTTTGTTTTAATGTTTTATTGATAAATTTTTAAATTTGTAAATATTGAAACACTATACTTACATAAGAATTATAGTGTATGAACAATACAACTAAAGTAGCAACTATTCAGAATCAGTGGCAACCATGTGAATTCAGTATAGTGATAAAAGTGTCATACATTATGAAGTGCCTTGTGATAAATAAACATATAGGAAGTCCATTTATCAATGGTCTTTGTGGCATCCCATATGATTAACCTGAATGAATGAGTTTAATTTAGAATT